TTTAGGCCTTGTTCACACCAAATGCAGACCAGATCCAGTCAGGTTTCTGCACACGCAGTGTAGTGGGTTGTGCCGCGTTTTAGACGCGTTTTGGATGCGTTTTTGATGCGTTTAGGGCCGGTTTTGGTAAAAAAAAAAGTTTTTTTTTTTTTTTAAAGTTTGACATGTGCTTTCAGGCACTTGCATGCGTTTTTGATAAGTTTTTGCGTTTTAGATGCGTTCCAGACCAGATCCAGAGCAGGTAAAATAGGGCTTGCCGCATTTTTTTCATCCGGTCTGGATCCGCACGCTGCGATGTGAACTGGAGGTCAAAATACCATAGGAATACATTGGACGCAGTTTTGATCCGGTCTGCACCTGCTCTGGTCCGGATCTGCTCCGCGCTTGGTGTGAACAAGCCCTAAGGGCGTTTAGGCCCTAAACGCATCAAAAACGCGTCTAAAACACGGCACAACCCACTACACTGCAGGTGCAGAAACCTGACCGGATCTGGTCTGCATTTGGTGTGAACAAGGCCTTACTCTTTGAACAGTTGATTGGCTGCAGTTGATTCAGCTGACAATTTCCCACTTAGTTTCTTCAATTTTTCAGTTCAAGTCTGTTAAGCCGGGTGGTGCCGACAGGGCCTCCCATGTTTAGAATCTTGGCCGATTCACGGGACATCCATGACATGGATCATGCAATGACAATCAAACAGAAACATTTGCTCGGCAACCCAAGCAGCATTTAATGGCTGACATTGGAAGGGCCACGTCACTCTGGTGATTTATTTGCAGTGATTCTCTGTTATTCTGATTTCTCTCTAATGAAATCAATTCTTTCCCATGGAATTTGCTAACTCGATATTTTACAGCTCAGCCACTCAGCAATTGGGTTAGTGCAGTTTAATGTCAGGAGAGATGTGCCAGCGGCATTCACCTCTATGGCCTAGCTATGAATCTCTGAAGGAGAGCGATTTGTAGCAGCCAATGTATAACAATGTACCACGACCTATACCTGCAGCTGCCATACATTGTTCCTTGGAGGCAAAGTGCCAGTGATTGTGTAAAAAAAACCCAAATTGTTGTTAAGCATTTGTAGCAGCGACATGGCCCCTGTGCTTCTTTGTTCTATTGGGAAAACATTCTTATTTGGGTTTTTATAAAAAAGCAGAGTTCTGTTTCCCTGTCATATAATTGGGGAACACCATGGGCCCCTGCTGCTCCTAGGGCCCCTTCATTGCAATCTTCTGTGTTCCCTTATTCTCTTCCTGTTGTGACTCTCTCTTCCTGGAGTAGCCCTCTCTTCTCTTCCTGACCTGAAGTGGCTCTCTCTTCTCTTCCTGTAGTGGCCCTCTCTTTCTGTAGGTGCCATCTCTCCCCTATTACAGGTCCCCTTCCAATGTGCTCCTATACTGCCTGTCCTGTCGCTCTCAGAGCGGAGCCTCTTCCTCACAGACACTTTCCTGGCTTCCTATTGTCTGTCGGTGAGGTGAATGAATTACATTGTATCAATGATTCTCCTCACACTGACTGGTGGACTACTGTGACCCGGGTGGGGGAAGTTCAGGAGTCAGTGATTTGTGTCTGGCAATCTTCTATCATATGTGTCTCTGCTCGGTCTCTATCAATGATTAATCCCCCACCCAGCAGCCCTGTCCCGGGACACTGAGCCGAGTCCAGTCCGTGCACCATGCTGCTCAGAGCTCTGCTCCCCCGCTGTGCCCGGGCTGGGTGTAGTGCTGTGCCCCGCACATATATGAACCAGGCCCGGCCTGCACTGGATATCTCCGGAATCTTCCCTCCCATCTCCACTCCATTCAATGACCGGGAACGAGTGGACTATGACAGGCTGGCCGAGAATCTGCACAAGTACTCCACTACCCCACTCCGCGGTATGTAGCACTGAGCATGCGCGGCACGGCCACATGGGGAACGCTTTACACATACATACACAGTAGGTTCATATAGAGAACTCTGCACATAAACGGGACGCTCTGAGCGTATAAAGGACACTCTGCACTCTCATAGAGCACTTGGCACTCACACAGGACACTCTGCACTCTCATAGAGCACTTGGCACTCACACAGGGCATTCTGCGCTCACGCAGGGCATTCTGCGCTCACGCAGGGCATTCTGCGCTCACACAGGACACTCTGCGCTCACACAGGACACTCTGCGCTCACACAGGGCACTCTGCGCTCAGATAGAGAACTCTGCACTCGCTCGCACAGGGCACTCTGCGCTCACGCAGGGCACTCTGCGCTCACGCAGGGCACTCTGCGCTCAGATAGAGAACTCTGCGCTCACACAGGGCATTCTGCGCTCGCGCAGGGCATTCTGCGCTCGCGCAGGGCACTGCGCTCGCGCAGGGCACTGCGCTCGCGCAGGACACTTTGCGCTCACGCAGGACACTCTGCGCTCACGCAGGGCACTCTGCGCTCACGCAGGACACTTTGCGCTCACGCAGGGCACTCTGCGCTCACGCAGGGCACTCTGCGCTCACGCAGGGCACTCTGCGCTCACGCAGGACACTCTGCACCCGCATAGAGCACTCTGCGCTCACACAGGACACTCTGCGCTCAGATAGAGAACTCTGTGCTCACACAGGACACTCTGCGCGCACACAGGACACTGCGCTCACACAGGACACTGCGCTCACACAGGACACTGCGCTCACACAGGGCACTCTGCGCTCACACAGGGCACTCTGCTAGAGCTGCAGCTAACGATTATTTTCAAAATCGATTAGTTAGCCGATTATTAAGTTCGATTAATCGGTTAATCGGATAAACTATAAAATAAAGTTTAAAAAATGGCTCCAGTGATGGACTACTAGTTTGTATTGAGGTTGTAGTCCATCACGGGAGCAAGCTTGGAGCGGTGGAAGTAAAAAAGAAAAAAAGATAGTGTGGTGTGCAATATAGTGAAATGGAAAGTGTAAAATTATACAGCAATGCATGCAGAATGGCAACGGCTATAGAGAACTACAAAACCCAGCAATAGTACATTATACAGCGCAATGCAGAATACCGCCAGCTATAGAGGAATACAACAAATCCCAGCAATAGTACATAATAGTTGGCGGCATTCTGCATTGTGCTGTATAATGTACTATTGCTGGGTTTTGTAGTCCTCTATAGCTGGTGGTATTTAGCATTGTACCACTGTATAATGTACTATTGCTGGGATTTGTTGTACTCCTCTATAGCTTGTGGTATTCCGCATTGCGCTGTATAATGTATTATTGCTGGGACTTGTAGTCCTCTATACAGCGCAATGCAGAATGTCACCAGCTATAGAGGAGTACAAAAAATCCCAGCAATAGTACATTATACATACAGTGTATAATGTATTGCTGGGATTTGTATTCCTCTATAGCTGATGGTACATTGCTCTGTATAATATACAGCACAAGGTACCATCAGCTATAGAGGAATACAAATCCCAGCAATACATTATAGAGCACCATGTGTGGGAAAGTGCAGGCTTACCTGACCAGTCTTCCAGCAACTTGCTTCTGAGATTGGACCTGTCTATCAGCTGCTGTCATCCCCCCACCCCTGCTCCTCCTTACTACATCTCCCCGCGTGCCTTGCCGATCGTGGATGGGCAGGAAATGTGAGGCGGGGAGGAGGTGCGGCGTGTGGAGCGTGGATGCGAGCGGGTCTGGCAGCGGCGAGCGTGAGGTGTGAAGGAGGTGCGGCGCACAGCGTGTGGAGCTGCGAACAGGGCCAACTGATCGGAAGTCGATTAATCGATTATTGTAAAAGTTGACAACTTTTTCTATAATCGATTATGTCGATTAGTTGTTGCAGCCCTACACTCTGCGCTCACACCCTCTTACCTGTCTGCCCGATACTCTGTCCGCCTCCTTCCCCACCACGATCGCTAGCGGGCCCCGCCTCCTCCGTCACTAAGACCCGACTCCTCCGTCACTGGGCCCCGCCTCCTCCAGCACTGCCGACGACGTGCCCAGAAACCTCCGAAGCTGCTGGTTGTCACCCACTCAGCAGCGGCTGCGAGGACTTACGCGCCGCTGCACATGTGATGTGTTTCTCCTCAAAGCCGCCAGTGACAGCCAGCAGCCTGAAATGCCATAGCGACACAGGCGGACGCACGGCATCAGGGCAACGTCCTGGCCGGGCCCCCCTGTGCTCCGGGGCCCCATAGCGGCCGCCTGGGTCGCTATAGTGATTGTTACGCCACTGCTCCAATATATTGGAACTGATCCTATAATCACACATACTGTATATTCAAAGATTCAAAAGATGCTCTGAGTGTTTGTCGATATACCTGTGCCAAGTACTTGTGTAACACAGGTATATTGATGCCATTTTTTTTTGTGTGTGGACTGGAACAGTGCAACAACTGGAAGACTGAAAGTTGTGAATGTCAATGGCAGTTTAATCGTTTTTTGGCTTTTTATTAATAAACCTGTATATTATCTTGTATATTATAAGAATGTTTTAAACTAGGAATGGTGCTGTACATAAACTCGAATAATTAGAATATCGTGCAAAAGTAATTGCAGTAAGTGCTGCAAAAGGGGCCCAAACCAAGTACTGAGTACATATGCATGCTTGTACTTTTCAGAGGTCCGATATTGTTCTATGTACAATCCTTGTTTTATTGATTGCATGTAATAATCTACTTTTTTGAGGTTGTGGATTTGGGGTTCTTGGGGTTTTCATGAGCTGTAAGCCATAATCATCACAATTATGACAAATCACGGCTTGAACTATCTTGCTTTGCATGTAATGAGTCTATCTCATATATTAGTTTCACCTTTTAAGTTGCATTAGTGAAATAAATGAGCTTTGCACGATATTCTAATTATTCGAGTTTCACCTGTACATCATGGTAATCACTATGTATTCTATTACTTTAAGGTTTTGTTGTTCAAGGCTCAAATGGGGAATATGCTTACCTGAGCCGTGAGGAGAGACTGGAGGTCGTGCGCAAGGTCCGTGAAGTGGTACCGAAAGAGAAGCTTCTTATCGCCGGATCAGGATGTGAATGTATGGTGTACTCCACTGATATTGTTACACAGTCTAACAATTTGTAGTAAGAAATGGCATACAGTTCAGAGGTGCAACCTCAGCACATTATTTATCAGGATATTCCGAGGAAAGAACTGCTTCTTCTTACTGTATGTGAGATTTTAGTGATTGGTTTTACATACACTTTATTGAGTGCCATCCCTACCCCCTCCTCTCCAGGCCAGCAGCAGCCCTTAGGACGGTTTCACACCATTTTCCAGACCAGATCCGGTCCGGAAAATGGTGTGAACTTGCCCGCAGTTCCAGTGCATCCCAGACCACACAAAATGAGACATGCAGTATTTGTCTGGTCTGGAACGGACTGCGCTGGTGGGAACAGAGGCCAGATATAGCACAGGGATATATTAGGATGCATTTTGGATCCGGAAACAATCTGGTCTGGTCTGGAGATGATGTGGTGTGAATGGGCCCTTAGTCCATTGACTCTTTGTACCTTTTGTTATTCCCTTTATTGTAAATCTAATCATTGTTTCAGAATTAATATAACTATATGAGTGGTTTGAGGTTTTATGAATGGTCCTTACTTTGTCTTTGTTGTCATATTCCCCAGCTACACAAGCCACAGTGGAGATGACCTTGGAGATGGCCAAAGCTGGAGCAGAGGCGGTTCTAGTGGTGACGCCATGTTACTATAAAGGCAGAATGAACAGCTCTTCTCTGGTGCACCATTACACCAAGGTAATCACACAGACCGTCACCAAAGCCAAGAAAAAATACAACAGTTAATGAAAACCTAAAAGTACGGAGACACCCAACGCTGACCTAGTTCTAGATACCTGGCTGTCTCTGCTTTTCAGTCCTTTTTGAGTCACTTTCCTGAAACAAGCATGTACTAAGTGACATCAGTGTGCATATTTGCTCTGTGTTAGTGACTCAGGAAGTATTGAAGTCCATTGAATCAACATGACAACCAGGCAACTAGCATTTTTAGAAGGAGCTGGAGCTAATGTAAACTTCCAGTACAGCTCGTCTATAAAATGGGCCTACTAATGGAGAAATACAGGGGACCTCCTTCTGTAGAGGCTGGTCGTTTGAGAGTTGTGCGCAACCTCTGTTACTTAGCCAAATCAAGTCAACAGATTAGGTTGAGTAAAGTCAGGACTCCGTATCTTCATGCTTGTTCTTTGTCAGCGACTCAAAGTATTAAGTCATGATAGCCAGGCATCCAGCACTTTCAGTAGAGAACTTAGCAATGGCAGCCTTCAAGTTTGTCTCATTAGAAGTTTACAAATAATAAACAAATACATAAAAATAATAATTAAAAAAAAACAGGAAGTTGCAGTGAAAGTTGTTTGCGTAGCTGCTGGAAATTCTAACACATTGTTTCTCTCCAGGTTGCCGATGCCTCTCCGGTTCCCGTTATTTTGTACAGCGTGCCTGCCAATACTGGATTGGATTTGCCTGTAGATGCAGTAGTCACTTTGGCTCAGCACCCAAACATCATAGGGATCAAGGACAGCGGAGGAGATGTAAGTCCCTGATTTCACAGCGCATGTCTTGTGCTTAGTTCTGCCTCTGGTAGTCAGGTAAAGTAAAAGCCTAACACTTTTCCCTCTTAAGGCAAACTGACAGGTTCTCTTTATAGCTCACCTCCTCTGCTTTAGGTATTCTGTGCAAAATGTCACAGTTCAGCTGCAGAGTTGCAGCTGTGCTGTCACTTGCAGTTCCACAAGAATGTGCAGACCTCTCACCCCTGGTTCTGCAGGCATGCAGGGCTGTTCTGTTGCTTGTAGCCCTCCAGGCATGTACTCGGTTCCTAACTTGCTCCCGCACTAGACTGCCAGCTTTAGGCTTTGGCTGACCTCTCCTGCTGATTCTTATGCAGCTTCTCAGCCAATCAGACTTTTTACCAATCTTGTGTTCCTCCCTCTGGCTTATTGTAGTTAAACCCAGTGCAGCGCACGGCGCGTGGCCTGAGCAAACTGTCACGAATCGGACTCAGAGGTGAGACCCGGAAACAAGGATGTGGACCCTTGCTACACATGCTGATGCACCTAGATTCAAAGGGTGCAAGCAGTGAATGCTGACTATTCCCAGAGCTGGAGTTCGAGCAGGGACATGAGCTGAAGGAGACAAGAAGAAGTCAGGTTCCACTGGAAGTTCAAGTACTAGGCAATGCCGAGTAGATAGTATGGGGTCCTTTTGATCCATGCAATGGCTTAAAATGTCAAGCTGCTGACTCTTTGCCCGGAACAAATTCTAGGGTGCTTAGAAAGCCAACCTCAAAATTATGCGAGCTAATGGGGTGAGCTAAATTATGTAACCCATGGGGTCCCCCAGGGTGTGGAGTCTAAGGGCCAGCCAGTGTTCACCAGAGCTTCTGATGGTGGAGATGGATTTTTCTGCGTGCTGACCCCAGGTCACGATTCTCAGGTTTCCCCAACTCGGCTAGCAGCCGATAATAGTTGACAAGGCCAGAATTCCCAACAGGTTGTACACAGGCCTACAACAGACAAATCAAATGCGAGGAACATGCAGATGACTAGGACTTCCAGGGACAATCCAAAGGATAGGGACAGACTGAAGACTGGGATTTCCAGGGACAAGCCAAGGTCGCTACACTGGTAAACTTCAAGAAATATAGTTTCAACTGAAAACAGGGGGCCCGTGCAACGCTTCCCTAAGTTAGATGCTGAGCCCCCTGTTTCCAGTTAAAACTATATATTATTTGAAGTTATTTGTATTGAGTATTAAGATTATAGTCCATCCCGGGAGTGAGCTTGGAGCGGTGACAACTTTACAACACACACAGGGACCATGCGGAACAAAAGTACCCCCCCTCCAGAAGGAAGGACAGTGTCAGCACCAATTCAGAGATGATTGGAGGATCTACAGCCGAGTGATACACAAATAAGATACATTTCTGTTAATAGCTAAGGTACTTGGATGCATTTTTATGATTTGTGTCACTTTAACCTGTTTGCTGTGATGTACTCTACCATATGTGAAGCATGCAGGATACATTACTGGAAACTCATGTGTGTTCTTTGTTACTTTTGTTTGAACTTATCGTGAGGGAATTTCAGAGCGGTGAAACTATAAAGGTGAATATCTCATATAAAATACTTACTTTACAACAGTAGCTAGAAATGAGAGAGTACTCTAAATTCCTAATAGTATACTTTTAACAAGACGCCAGTAAAATAAAAGCACATCCACTTCATTCATAAAAACAAATCCATTGGCATTATTCTGGAGATCTTTTACTAAGTCTGCAGTAAACCTTTAGTGTTAGGTTTATGAGTTAAAAATTCTTCCTGGTCTATAAATGGAAAAGCATTAAATGACGACCTGAGTTTAAATAGAACGTACTCTTAAGGTTTAGCACATATTAACACGCTCTTAAAAAAGCCTTTGGCAAGCACACTTTTTTCACCCTGGACAAGAGCACATCTAGTAAATAACAAAGAACACATGCTGTCTGGCATATCATCAATATATTTAGGTCAATCGTTTGCTTGTCTTGTGTTCTTTGTTCTTTTGTTCTTTGTTACAATGTAAAATGTCCGCGCAACCTGGGTAACCTTTTGTATAAAGATATCTAAATGGATCCACATTGTATTACGATACAAACAATTCTTCAACAGTGTGACGGCGTATAATGTAAAAGCAATGAATGAGATGATACATGGACCTATACATACGCACACATCAGCAATAGGTTGGACTCGATGGACTTATGTCTTTATTCAACCTCAAATACTATGTATCTGCAAAAACCAAAGGCGATCTTTTACAACATGTCCAGTGGATGTGCCTGTTAGAAGAAAAATAATAATGATATACTTTATTTAATAATACTTTATTTAATAATATTAAATAAAGTAATAGTAGTAGTATTTGATAATACTTCAATGGTTCCTGAGCAAAAACAGGCAAGAGTCGTCCTATTGGTACTCTATGGTGTGTAAATCTACTTCTAGCACGCAACAACTGTTGCCCCAGGCATTTTCACTGTTGTAGTATTGTCCTAATAGGAGTCCACAGTTTGGGTCGTCTTTCAGCTGCTTGCCCCCGCTGTCCTATATATACACAAGTGCAGGGCTGGATTTCCCACAAGGCCAACCAAGGCCCGGCTTTGTGGCAGCAGTGAGCAGAGGGGCAGCAGGGGTGTGGAATTCCTATCTCCCGATGCCCGGGTGCTTTGCATCTCTTTCCCTGCTGCTTAATGTGATGCAGTCTCCATTTCTCAAGACTATATATCCCATCATGCATTGCCTCCAGCAAGCAATGACAATGCTACATGTTGGAAGTTCAGATGTTGAGTTGTAGTTCACCCGACAGGCAAGGCCTCGGGGCAGCAGGGAGTAGAGGGGCAGCAGGTGGTGTGGAATTGCCAAATTTTTGGAAGCCCGGGACAAGCAGTTCTGGGCACTGGGTGGGTAATTGTTTTCTACATTTAGCCCTGCCTTGGGCAAGCAAAGCTAAATGTACAGCGGGGAAACTGCTGCTTCTTTTGTACAAGTGATCTCAGCGATGTCTCTGAGATCACTTGTATGCAACCTGCAGGTCTGCCATTCTCCATGGGGGGCGGGCACATTGAGGTACTTGGCCTTGGGGCAACATAGATAGTAAATCCGGCCCTGCAGAGGTGTCTTCCTTGGAGAACATTAGGCATTTTAAGAGCACATCCTGTGTGTCATGAATTTCCATGTTAGAGCATGCATAAGATGACTGGGGAGAAGAGTGGAAAGCTCTAAGGATCAGGAGCAGTTATCGAGACTTATATAGACAGCTGCAGATCGAGGCAATTTGTACCCCTAATAAAGTATTATTGCTTCTTGACGTCCTAAATGAGTAACAATGTGATCTGGATGTAATATTTAGGATGCAGCCTGTCAGTGCATATTAGCTCACAGAATTCTGAGGTTGGCTTTCTAAGCAGCCTAGAATATGTTCCGGGCAAAGAGTCAGCAGCTTGACATTTTAAGCCATGGCATGGATCCAAAGGACACTTCCACCACACCGAGACGGCTCTAAGCCTCAGCTCATTATGGGGGTTGTTGGACAATATTACAGAGCACTGGTCCTGTCATTCACACTATTACATCTACAGTCATATAATGCACACCAGCTTACATTTGTTCTCCACCTACCGTGTTTCCCCCAAAATAAGACAGTGTCTTATATTTTTTTTCCACAAAAAAGACACTAGGTCTTATTTTCGGGGGATGTCTTATGTGTACCTGGCTACAGCTGTCCGCTCGTGCGTGCGGATGGGCGTGCGTGCGGGAGGGAGCTGCGGCCACTCTCAGCTCTAATGCCGTCCAGGGAGCCAGACAGGTGGGCGTGCGGGGAGCGTGCCTGGCGGGAGGGAGCTGCGGCCGTGACATGTAAAATTCTATTATATGTGCAGCTACCTCGAAAGTAAGACCTAGCGGATTTCTGCAATATAAGACCTACCACCGAACTAGGTCTTATTTTCGGGGTAGGTCTTATATTACAGAAATCGCTGAAGATAGCACTAGGTCTTACTTTCGGGGTAGGTCTTACTTTCGGGGAAACACGGTAGTTGCTTCTTGTAAAGTTGTCTATTCAGACAGATCAGAGTGTTCCACTGATTCCTCTTTTATTAGAGCAGTTTATAGACTTGATTGGTCTAAATAACTGTCAGTTGACATTGAACCAGTGAACAGTACATAGAAAAAGCATTGCGAGGGGAATTTATAAAAACTGGAGCAGACAGAATCTGGAGCAGTTGCCCATGGCAATCAGCTTCTTTCTTCAGTTTGTTCAGTTAAGCTTTAAAAATGAAAGATAGAAGCTGATTGGTTGTCGTGCAAGGCTGCTCCAGATTTTGTCTGCTCCAGCTTTGATGAATCCTCCTCTTTGTATTTTGCAAAGGATTACTTGCATCTTTAAAACTGACTAGCTGGCTCTGCACACTCCACAATTTGATATATTTAAAGTGTATGCAAATCCTAACGACAAACATCTCTTATTTCCTCCCTTATGGTTTGGGAAATATATCAATGCACGTATCGAATGAATATAACAAAACACATTGAAAGTGTTTTGTTATATTCATTCGATAAGTGCAGAAAATGACATCAGAAAATCAGAGCTGTCCTGTGCATGCTTCCCGTGTTGGTTCCAAGAGTCTTAGCCCTCCTAGTTCTTTATTTGGACTACAGGATAATTAGTGTCTTTTGTTGTAAAAATGTAAGTAGACTTTAAGTAGCTTACCAAAAGTAAATGACAGGGCTGACACCACTCATCTACAAAAATGTTGTGTTATCAGCCCACAAGAGGACTTAGGAGCTAAATGCATTTGTGGAAGAGCAACAAGTAGTTTTCTGTACTTGAAGGGTCTTTGAAGGGATACAACTTGTGAAAATGTATATGTATTGCAGATATTTATTGCATATGTTTTTGATTTTTTGTGCCTAATGGGCACAAAAAATTTGATTGGCCGCACTTCATTCACTTCAATGGACCGCCGCGCCCCCTCCTGCCCCACAACATAGTGTGCCGGCCGCAATGCGATGCAGTGCGTTCTGGCCAGAACAAGGCCTAAAAGAGCCTATAAACCCATATTAAGAATATCTTTGCTTCATTTATGAAGTCATCCCTAATCCCCTGCTTTCCATTCCTCCATATAAGTCAGTAAGACTGCACATCAGAGTGACAGGCCAATGGGGAGATGAAAGAAGGGGCACAGCTAAAGCCATACTTACTGCATGACGCTCATACAGTTCTGGAACATACCTGAAGGTATAGACATGGTCTGCTGTCTGCCTTCCTTGGTACATGGTCTCATCATCCATGCCTAAAGTGATTCAGATGCTGCAGCTTTTCTTATTACAGCACTGAGATTGCTTAAGTAGTGATAGTGAAGGAGGCAGATAATTCCACCCAATTCCCGACAAGGCATGATGAGGCTTTCCTCCATTTATTTAAAATCTGCAATATATGCGCTAAAACTTTTTGCTTCTTTTAAGCTCACCTGAAGGGATTGTGTTTTTGCCATCAAACTGGAGTGTTATTCAAATACGTATTATCTTCTTTAAATTGTAGATCACACGTGTGGGCCTTATAATCCACAAAACACGCCACCTTGGCTTCCAAGTGCTTTCTGGATCTGCGGGCTTTCTGCTGGCTGGGTACTCAGTAGGTGAGTAAAATAACATTACCCATACGCATGCAGAGCGAGCGGCCTTAGACATCTCTGTCTAACTTAGTGGCTGGTGGAATGATTGGCAGTATTCACTCTTGACTTATAACTGCATTTATTGAAGTGTTAAATGTGACTCCTTGTTTTAATGTATTATTTCATCTGTGTCCTGAGCTGCACATCCAGGGATCAGATTTACCAGAAGTCTAGAAGATTATGTCCTGTCAACTCTCTGTCCTCGTGAGGTGTTTCCCAGCTTTTGTGTCCATAAAAAAATGTCACGTAAAAGAACCCGAATGTTAAAAGGAAACAACTGCAGTGCTCTCTTATCTGATATTCTTATAGACACTCAGAAGCTGGGAAACAGCATGCAAGCTCAGGTAGTTGAGAAGGTGGCCAAAATTTGAGCAGCTTATGGCCAGCTCTGCAGTTGAGCTGTGGGTGGCTCTGTCATTACCACCTCATTCAACAAAAATCCTGCTGACTTGGCTGAAATTCAAGCTGTGTACCCTTCCAGTACCACTCCATTCAACAACAATTGTTTTTTGTTTTTTTTAATCGATTTTTGTCGAACAAGACAGCTGAAGATTTTTGGTTATACAGCGATGACCCCCAGTCATCTGAAGTTACATGGGGGTGGCTAGCACTTCCCAGGTTTTTAAGAGCTGTTAGCAACCTGGGACGCCCTTTCTGGCTTCCCACCCAGCTCACTGACGTCACTGGTTGCCAGGAGCTGAGCCGAGACAGAGCCGCTGGACCGAGAGATAACGAGCATCCACTGAAAGAACACGCGCCCAATGCCCCCCCACCCCCTCCTGTAATG